GCTCCATTACCTTAGCTCAGTTTCATCAAGAATCACAAGTCTCCCCCACTTTTACTTAAACTCGACTTCAGCTCCTACACGCAACCATATCTCCATGATGGTTCCACAACTCATCTGCCTTAACTCTAGCATAGCTCATAGGGCATCTCAAAGCCTACTCAATGCTCTACGATCCACCAATCCAAACGATCACATTATCCAATGACTTGTTTAACTTGAGGGTTTGCTAACCCATTTAATACATAGGGTCCACTGACCCACTCGGACTCAAGGCCATCCCATTTGCCAGCATCTATTCAAAAGATTCCATATTTGGCTCAACTCAATCAACTTATCTCTGCCTTGGTCAAATCTCATCTAGCCCATTGACTAGATACACAACCTCCAATGCCAATACCCTTGGCTTACTCTGCTCAATCAGTCCTCTAACCCACACAGCTCATAAGGCCTTATCAACTGGCCAATTTCGCTTGCTCATTCCATTGAACTGCACACTATCATGGCCCACTGACCACCACATCTCATAAGGCCTCCCTATCGGCCAACACAAAGCACACCAACCATCACAACTTACGGCTTCAATCCTCAGCCAACTGGAACTCCTCTTCCTCTGTAGAATGGCTCTACACTTGGACCCAAATACTTGGCTCATACCCTCGCTAGGGCACTTGTACCATACAATAAGTGCATACGTTAGTAACTGATCTCAATACACATGACTCGTGTCTCTCAGGATAAAAATCTTTCAATCAACATGGCCTTACTCAATACCATTTCATGGTGTATGCCCTTTTCATATTTCGGTCTCACCATGATTTTCCCACCATAAGGGCATTATATGCCTACACGTGCCAACACCTTCTGCTAGGTGAGGCTAGACTCTTATGCCCTTTTGTTTGGCATCCAAGAGCCTACTCCAAAACTATTCCCCTAGGCCAATTTATCCCACAACACACATTGTTGGCTCATTCTTGAGCCCTCATAGCGACAGAACCGCATTCGTATCTTAATAGCTCTCTTTGAGCTTAGCACTGCCTCAATTTCATGTTATCATGCCTACACCTGGGGCCATATTAGTCCTATCTTTGAGCCGAACTAGGCTTTGATACCAAATGTCATAGGCTGCGCGTTTCTTAGACTGAAACCACGTGTCCATGCGGTACCAAGACTACTCATAGTCGATGTTAGCCTTTTAAGAGTTCATTTTTCCACAGACAACTCAATATTGATCCTTCAAGCCGTATACTCACGAGTCTTTCCTGACTCAAACCCAGTAAGGTTGCACCTCGATAGAAAGGAACCCAACTCTCATTAACTCATCAACCCACAATTCGTAGGGTGGCCTTGAGCACCCATATCTGCCTGTAGGCATCAAGGTCTGGAACACCGACCCTTGAATTCTCATAGGGGTCTATAGCCCTGGTTCTCATGATATTATTGCTTTCTGGCATGATAAGAAACCAACACCATGCCTATCTGTATCATACGTAATCTCTTGTGCCAAGATCCCGTAGGCACAATACTGATGCTAATCAACAGCCAGCTTAGAGCTTCTAGGCTTATCTCATCCCACAAAGCACATTTTTAGGGCTTTAGCCCTTGGCCTCATTTTAAGCTACCCACACGTATGATGAACATTTAACATCATGCCCATCCCTTTTTTGGGACTTAGGTGTGTTACCTCAGCTATAGTAACCTTCTATCGATTGGCCACAAAGGTCTAGCACGTGCTTGCCTACTAGCTCACTCATCCCTCAGGCTAGATGGTGCCTTTCCTACGCAAACACCATTTAATGATCCTTCCGGTTCAAAGAGGGGAAATCGAAGGGCATAGCAATTGCTATCGCCTAACCCCATGGCTCAACGTAAAGGTGCGATATAAGGCTCGCTGACCCTAACCGTCCCTCGACTTACCATAACCCGAGGAGACACTGTGCCACACTCATGACCCTACGATGCCCTGTCCACCTAGACACCACATGTGCCTAGGAGTAGCTCACTTCAGACTAGTCAAGCCCTTGTCTGCCTATTAGCTAAAAGGGTGGTGGAGAGTTGACACTAGTCGTCTCCCTATAAAAAGCGTAAGAGATTTTATAAGTCTCATACCATGAACCGTAAGATTGTCCGAAATGGGGATACTTTTCTCCCCAACCATCTTAAGGCCTTTTTTCAGCTAACTCAAGGTCTCGTGACTTTCCTCTTGGTTACCATGATTCTCTAATTCTGCTTGTTGCTCCACCAACCCATTCGAAGGTGCCCGCACACGACCTTAACCAACAGCACCCAATTGGCTACCTGGCTCAAGGGTGCTCACTCACTGGCTCGAACTTGCTCACACATCCTACGACCCAAGGCTCACACTGCCTACACATCATATCAACATGTTTCCCTAATCAAAATCCTGTACACAACTCCAAGATCACAATCCTACCAACTAGGCCTCGATCGCTGCTCAACTCAGGGTCAATCGTGACAATATTGAGACACTAGAACTTGATCATGACACTGGGCTTGTTGACCATGGACAAGGCCACGAGGGTTTCGAACAACTATTATGCTTGGGACTGACGCCTATGTAGCAACAGAGTGTCTTGAGATATACAAAGCCATTAAGGAATCCGACATATACATCTTTGGTATTGTTATGTTAGAAATAGCCTCCGAAGAGCAGGCTATTGATGTGATTGATAAAAATGGCAAGAAATTCAAAACTAAACTAGTGGAGTGGATTTGGGAACCATATGGGAGAGAAAGTATTGTTGATGCAGCAGACCCACGATTGTCTGACCATTATGACAACGAACAAATGGAACGCTCGATCTTAGTTGGGCTGGCTTGTGCTCATCCAAACTATTTAGTCCGCCTATCAATAAGGCAGGCTGTTGATACCCTTGGTTTCAAAGCTCAAGTGCCCGTGCTACGACTGGAGATGCCAGTTCCAACATACATTGCAGCTCATCAAGCCAATATTGTTGCATCTTCTGCATCGAATTCATCCCATAACAGTGCCTCCACCAGAAACCGCACCCAATTTCAGGCACTGGTTCCGTTGGTGATTCCTTGAAGGATAGTGCAAAGATTCCAGCATCAGATACAAAATGATCTTTTGCATAGAATATTAGGCACACTAAGCTGCAAGGGAAAAGCCGCCGGTAGTATTTTCTTTGTGAGTTTTTGATAGTTAATTTTGTCTATTTATTTGTAGTGTTGGCTCATTTTTTTTCATTTCGATGCCTCGTTACGTCCTAGATTTCTCCGCATTTTGTATTATTCTTTTCGTTAAGATTGGTGCTGAATTGGGCAAATGGTAAAAACTGTGTGCAATTATAGACAGAGTCCCACTAGAAAGGTAGTTCATGGTTCCAACGTTCAGCAACAAGGTAGCGAACAAGCAGGATTTTGAGCTTTTATCTCGTTCTTGTATTTGTTTGGTTTTGAGCTGTAATTCTTGCTTTGATGGTTGATAAAACTTTAATTGCTTAGCAGAATGAAGAAAACAAAGAAGCTTCAATTTTTGAAATTACGGGTTGACAAAATATTTTGATGACAAATAATATAAAAGTATACGTTAATTAATGCTTGAAATAAGAAGGTTTGAATTGCTGCTACAATTTTGCAATTAATCAATCCAACAAAGATTTATATACAAGTTCATTATTTAAAAAGTATGGCTTTACATAATTTTTTATGGATTTTATATAATGCGAAATTTTAATTGATTAATTATACTAATAGGTGCTCTTTAAATAATAAAGAAATGATATGTTTTTAATGAAAAATTATCAGCTTACATTAAAAAAAAGTTTTATATTTTTTTAATCATTAATTTTAATAGATCTAATAGATAAGATTAAACTTTTTTTTCACTTATCTCTCTTATCTATTGGATTTATTAAAATCAATGATTAAAAAATATATAAAACTTTTTAATTTTTATTGGTCTAACTTTATCTCTCCTCATTTTCAATTATTTGCATTTTCAATTTTCTTTTCATTATCGATTTGTGCAAACTAAATTTGATAAATTCATTTCAAAAGTAACCAATTAAAATTTGAAATTAATGCAAATCCAAATTTAAAAGTTAAATTCAAGTTGACAATCAAGAGTTAAATTAATGGTTATGCAAATATGATGAAGACTATATATACATGTGAAATGTAAAAACCAAAAAAAAAAAAGGTTTATTATTTGAAATAACTTACTAAATTTAAATGAAACCAAACTAATTAAAAACAAAACATATAATTTTTATATATTTAACATTATACACGTATAAAAAAAACCAATTACATTGATTTTTTTTTTTCAAAATGCTTTATTTTTTATATGTTTTATTATATATAAATTTGAGGATGACCACCGCGTTGTTTTCTATTTTTCTGAGTCCCAAACTCTCCACTTACTTTCCTTACAAAAATGGTTGAGGTCAGTAAATATTGTATATTTCCTTTTAGGGTTTAAATTATATTTATGTTTGTGAGGCTTTGATTCTGTTACCTTGTGGCTCAGTTGCCTGCATATGGATTTTCTTATGTTGAGTCTGTTTGGTTGATGCCGTGAGGCGATGACCTTATGTTTTTAATTGCTTTTTGCTGGCCTGTGTGGGCTGCGTTGATTGTTAGTTTTCCTTTTTCCGTCCCGTTTCCTTCAAAGACGCAACAGTATTCGCCATTTAATCTTCTCAACCTACCTACAGAAAACTACGTTTGTTTTGATGTCAGAAATTTGCTTGAAATTTTCTTCCCAGATCTTTACTGCTCACCAATCCACATTCATTGTTTCAAGTTGTAACGAATTTCAGTGCATAGAGTTTGAACAAGACAAATACATTTCAAAATGGCTGTACCCAGACATCAAAATGAGAGAACTATAATCGTTCGACATAAAATACCATTGGAAAAAAAATACATGGGAACACCCAATTTTCAAACTTGCTTTCTAAGGGCAGCACACCATAAAGGGCTTTTGAAGATTGACGATATCAACGACATGTCATAATGAAAATTAAATTAATTAATCTTATTTTTAACTGTAAGGTACAGTTTCTAGAAGATGCATCTCCTTGAGATGGTATGAAGTATGAATTACTTGAAATATTTATCCGAATAAATGAACAACTTGAAATAGCTGTTAATTTTTAAAGAAATCACAATGTTGACCAAGAAAAAAGACAGAGCAGTATGGAGACTTTTTCCTCTACCATTAACGATTTTTAGGTGAAAAGAAGATGCTAGTTTCTATGCCAACCTCCCAGCTGCCAATTATGGCCATCTGCAGCTTGATTAAGTCTCTCCTGTTTAAGCTCTTGACAATCACCGTTCTCTTTTGCCTGATCACTCCCTTCACAAACGCCTTATCGTTCAACTTCACAAGTTTCACTACTAATGATAACAACATAAGTTATCAGAACGCCTACCCAGCCAACCAAGCCATTCAGCTTACAGCAAACCAGAGAGATCTTCAAATGACTGCAAGTATTGGTCGAGCCACATACAACAAACCGATGCACCTCTGGGACAAAGCATCTGGAAATCTCACGGACTTCACCACCCGTTTCACCTTTGTCATAGATTCACAGAACAGTACTTCTTATGGAGATGGAATTGCATTCTTTCTTGAACCTAAAGGTTCAAGAATTCCTGATAATGTCACAAAAGGCGGTAGTCTTGCTCTTGCAAGTGATGGTATGCAACTAAACACAACAGTCAATAGATTTGTAGCGGTGGAGTTTGATATTTATCAAAATACTTGGGATCCGGAGCATGAACATGTAGGTGTTGATATCAACTCTATGCAATCGATTAGTAATATAACATGGTGGAGTGATATCATGGCAGGGAAAAGAAATGAAGCTTGGATTAGTTATAATTCCAGGACGCAAAATTTAAGTGTTGCCTTCACTGGATTTAGAAATAACACTACAGTGATGCAACACCTTAGTGCTATGGTTGATTTGAGGCTTTACTTGCCTGAATGGGTTACTTTTGGATTCTCCGCAGCCACGGGGAATGCATCTGCTATACATCAAATTTATTCTTGGGATTTCAGTTCAAGCTTAGATATTGATAATAATACAGCTGCCCCATCTCCAGAACCTAATCTTAACCGCAATAGGAGGAAAAACAGGACAGGTTTGGCAGTAGGATTGGGAGTTGCTGGTGCTTTGGTTGGTGGAATGGTTTTGGTTTGCCTTGCTATTTTCTACAGAAAGAAATTTGTGAAGGATAAAGACAATGATCATGTCATTGATGAGGAAATAGAGGATGAATTTGAGAGAGGAAAGGGACCGAGGAAGTTTTCATATAATGAATTAGCTCATGCCACTGACAATTTTAAGGATGCAGGGAAGCTAGGTCAGGGAGGCTTTGGTGGGGTCTATAAAGGATTTTTGAGGGATTCCAGTACCTATGTTGCTATCAAGAGAGTTTCAAGCGGATCAAAACAAGGGATAAAGGAGTACGCATCAGAAGTAAAGATCATCAGTCGATTGAGGCATAGGAATCTAGTGCAACTTATCGGCTGGTGCCATGACAAAAAAGAGCTCCTACTTGTTTATGAGTTCATGCCCAATGGTAGCTTAGATTCTTGCCTCTTTACCGAATATAGCTTATTGACATGGGAGGTAAGGTACAAGATTGCCCAAGGATTGGCCTCAGGATTGCTGTACTTGCACGAAGGGTGGGAACAATGTGTGGTGCATAGAGATATAAAATCAAGCAATGTTTTGTTGGATTCGGAATTCAATGCCAAGCTTGGAGATTTCGGGCTCGCAAGGCTTGTGGACCATGCAAAAGGATCACAAACTACTGTTTTGGCTGGGACAATGGGCTACTTGGCACCAGAATGTCATATAGCAGGTAAGGCCAGCAAACAATCAGATGTGTATAGTTTTGGTATTGTAGCTTTGGAGATAGCCTGTGGAAGAAAACCGATCAACCCAAAGGCCGGAGAAGGTAAAGTAAATTTGGTGGAATGGGTTTGGGAGCTGTATGGAAGAGGAAAACTGCTTGAAGCATGTGACCCAAGGCTACATGGGGAATTTGTTAAGCAGGAAATGGAGCAACTGATGATTGTCGGGCTATGGTGCGCGCACCCGGATGAAAATTCCAGGCCTTCGATGCAGCAAGCCATTCACGCACTCAATTTCGAAGCTCCATTGCCCATTCTCCCATTAAAAATGCCAGTGCCAACATATTATGCTCCTCCATTGAATGTTCCTGCATTTCCATTGTCTTACAGAGGCACTGATTCTGAGGGGCAACAAAACCAATTTTCAAGTTATAGTTATAGCACCAATTCCTCACAGTTAACCACATCTTCAACATCTTCTGCATCTACATCTCTTTTGTTAGCTCCTCGAGTTTAAATTCATTTAATTTTTTTTCCTGAGAATTTTTCAATTGCTTATGTTGTCTGTTCCCAAAGTCATTCTGTTTGTAATTATTTTTGGAGAGCTGACAATGTTAATTGTTTTGGATTGATCACGCAGCATTTATCTAATTTCTCTGATATTGTCATAAACCAAAAAACAAAAAAAAAGGTGTTTTAAGATTTCAAAGAATTTTAGTAACATACTTTTAGCTACATTGCTTTCGCTTTTTTTTTTTTTATTTAATTTATAGTAACTAGCAATATGTCAGCGCGTTGCAAGAGGTTCAAAATTTTTTTTATTTGTATTTAATAATATTCTTGATTAATGTAATAAATCAATAAATATAATTTTGTTTATAATTAAAAAAAAGCAATAATTAATAAAAATTTGTCAATTAATTGATGGATAATGTATACATTTTATTCTCATAACTTATATACAAATCAAATTCATATTTATTCTTTCAAATTTGTCATTACAAACATAATTAAAAATATTAAAATAAACAATTAAAAAACAAAAAATTAAAACTGAAAAAAAAAAAGAAAGACCCAAGTAAAAAAAAGCCAAGTAGGACTATCACATGGACACCTTCATTTAAAAATGGCATAGGGGTAGGTTTATACTCATTTCAACTTTAACTCGATATCGAATTATTATTTTTTACACCTAATCTCAATCTAACATATATATATATATGTATAATCTGCATCCAACTTGACTTGATAAAAAATAACTTCAATAGTATAATATTCATAAAAATATTATTTTTAATATAAATTACATCTTAATTATATATAAATATAGTATTTTAATAAATTAAGAATTAAATAATAATTTTATTAATATAATACATATATATAAATATAAATGAAATAAAAATAAAATATATATTCTTATACATACCCTAGGATCGGATAGGATAGAGCATCATAAATTCGCCCCAAATCCTACCTTAATTTTTTAAAAAGAAAAATCACCCCACATTGACTTGATTTCAATTTTAAAAGAATCATCTTTGTTGGATCAACTGATTGAAACCCATTGAATATGGGTTATTTTTGCATCATAACCTTCATTGACTGCATATTTTCTCATTGAAAAAGAACAAAAGCAAAAAAATGAAAAAAAAAAAAGAGATGGCTAAAAAAATGAAAAAGGAAAAGGAAGCCAAATATATGTGCCACATTGACATTACAATTGTTCATTTACTTTTCAAACATAAATAAGAAATAGTAAAATAGACAATTAAAAAAATAAAAGAAATTAAAAAATAAACAAAAAGAAAGGGTCTAAGAAAAAAAACCCAAATAGGGAAGCTATTAGAATTTTTCGTAAGTGAGCCACTATTAATTGGCGATTTTAATTTAATAAAACTAACTGATGGATTTAATCTTAATACGGGTCAAGCATGAGAACCCAATTAATTTTATGTGATCACCTAAATATGGGCTTTTACACATCTTACTGAGTTTGTGTGGTTTAGTGATTGTGTAGGCCTTTAGCATGGTAAACCTTTAATAAGGAGGTTACCAAGGTTATTTAAATAACAGGCTAAGATCTTCTCTTTACTTTTCATATTCGATAATTGCCCATTGAGAAACTGCTATGAAAGAGAAAAGAACGAAGAAGAAGATCATAGCAACTTCAAGATCATTTAGCTTATGCAATTTCATGGTAATTACCTAAATAAGTATGCCTGATCTCTTTGATACATATACGGTGTTCTAATTTTCACACAATGATCATGGGTTTATGCTTACATATGGTATTAAAGCCCGATTTTGTGAAATTAAGACCTTAATTTCATAATTGTTTAACTAACTTTTGGATTAATTGCTTGTTAGGGTGATTTTTTATGTTGTCAAAATTTTTAAATTTTGATTGTTATTATGTAAAATTAATTGAGGGCTTTTGTTCCTCTCTAAAAGAGGATCAAATCCATATAAGGATCGTTTTCTAATTCTTTGTATTGAGGGAAAAATTGGGATTCAAACTTTTTAGTTACAATTTTGGTAAAAATTCTTGTTTTGATTAAATCATCAACATTTTATATGTTTGATTTGAAATTGATTCGTATTTGATGTTCCTAATATGTTATAAGAGTTGATCAAAGTGTTTAATTTCATAAAATGTTGTTGTAAGATTATTAGATTTAAAGAAAACAAAAATGGGTTGTTTATGAGTTTGAAGAATTCAAAAATTTTCTCAAATTGATCCTTTTTATGAGTTTTGTAGAAAATGTGTTTCATTAAATTTTTGAGACTTTAATTTGATAAAAAAACACAAAGACAAATGCATCAAAAATGGAGAAAACCACCCACAAACCTTAACAGGTCAAGAAACTACCCTAATCGGGTTAGGCTAACCTAGTTGAAGGTTAAAGAAGGCCAACATGTGAGCCAGGTGAGGCCTATGTACAAAGGGCAGCACGTGTGGGCCCTTCTGACAGCCATTTTTGTCTTGATTTTTTCAGACATGCTTAGAATTTAATTTATGATTTTTCTATAATTTTTGAAATTTTTTGAATGCACGAAATATTTATTGTTTAAAATTCATGCATTATTCAAAAATTATTATATTTTTGCATATAATTTTGGTTGCTTTAGTTCATGATAAAATATTTTAGCATGTTGAGAGTTTAATAGTAGTAGGTACTCTCCCTAGTTAGATCGAAATACTTATGTACTATCGGGTTGAACTTTATGTGCATAATTGGTTAAAAATTAAAAATAGTTTTAAATTAAGCTCAAGACCCAAGTTTAAATACAATAAACATTATTTATAAGACCTAATGAGATATATCTAGGTTTAGTATCTCAGCTGGAATGGTCCACTGTATGTATTAAGGTTGAGTATGCAAACTAAGAATTTTGGACAATTAATGAAATTTTTCGGTTTGAAAATTTTTTCATTAATTGATATAAGTGTTTGGCTGCCTAAGTGGCTCACTTATTGAAGTTAATGAAATATTTTATTATTCTAAGGTTATAAGATGTTTGTTAATCTTATCCATTTACCTACCTAAAAGGGGTTTATGTGTAGGGTAATTTGTTTTGGAACATAAAATATCATGGTTAAGGGTATATCGGTCTAGAAAACCTATATGCCTAAAGGGGATAGGTTTTCAAAAACTAAGACATTATCTTATTAGTTTTATGTGAAAAGTTCCTAATCGTGTATTGTATTCTCTGCCCAAATGGGAGTTTGTGATTATGCACCTAGACCTTTCAATAATTGTTAGCATATCATGAATTGTTGCTAAACAACTTGTGATATTGCCCATTGACTAATACTACATTTTATCTTGAACAATGACTTTTACTATCAATAACAATCAAGTTACTATCGAAGTATTTCATGGGTCTAATTATAAGAGATGGAATGAAGATCTGAACTTCATTTTGATTATGAGCGAGATAGACATAGCCTTGTATTTTTAAAAACCTGTTGATCTTACTGATGAAAGACTACTAAATAAAAAGAATTTTTTATCAAATGGGAAAGGGTAAATCGCATGTGTCTATATGCCATTAAAAGGCTTGTCTCTGAACACCTTTTGAGTGGATTGGATACCAATGAGATTATTAAGAATCTTTACAATAACATTGGCAATAGATATAAAAAATCCAATAAGTCTAAGGTCGATAACCTTATGAGAGAGCTTACGAGTATAAAATATGATAGTGCAAAAGTTGTTAGAGATTTCATTATGAGAATGGTCCACATTCAAACCAAATTGACTTCACATAAAACTATCATCCTTGACAAATTCATTCTTTACCATGCCTTTAACTTGTTACCTATTAAATTCACCTAGATCAAAATAGCCTATAATGCTATGAATGAAGTTTGGAGTGTTAATGATCTTATCTCAAAATATGTTTTTGAGAAAGGAAAACTTGAAAAAAAAAAAGTGAAAATGTTCATCTTACTACCGATTCCAAACCTAATTATTAAAGGAATTATGCAAAACCTATAAGATCTATTCCTAATGCTCGTAAAAAGTTCAGGACAAGAAAGGATAGTGTGGTAATAGTCAGACTAAAAGGGTATGAGGTTTTAAAGCTATCATCAAGAAAGATATCAAGTACTTTTTCTGTAAAAAAAATGTTATATGAAATATGAGTGCCCCAAATATAAGGTTTAGTTAGAGAAAAAGAATAAGCAATAAGGTAATTCACTAGCTCTTGTTTGTTTTAAATCCTACTTTATTAGTGCCCCATTGAATTCATGGTGGCTTGATGTGGTGTAACTGTTCATATTGTTGTTACTTTGTAGGGGTTCAAAACCAAACAAAAGTCAAGTGAGAAAAAGGCCAAACTTAAAATTAGAAACAATGCTGAAGTAAACGTTAGTCATGTGGGAATAATAGGTGTCGTAATGGTTTTACGTCTGCTCGACAAATTTGAAAAAAAAAATAAAAAAAGAGAAAGTCGCCACCAATCTTTTTTGGTTAGGTGCGATAAGTCACATATTAAAAATTTATCCTTCTAATTAGATTTTAAAATTAATTAAAATTTATTAAAAATATAATTTTATGGTCTGCGAAATAGTCTGAGTTCGGGAGTTGATTACGCTTGGGAAATGATTAGCACCCCTTACAGCCCCCGTTTAAAACGGTACCAATTAACTATGTGTTATTCATTGATTTAATAAAAACAGTTTTATTTTCGGTGTTTAAAAAATAATTTCCTTGATTTTTCATTTATTGGAAATTTTTTTTTTAATTTTACTTTATTTTTTAGTGCTTAAATTTTTTTGAGAAAAATAAATTAGAACCCTTTTATCAAAATAATTTTTAAAATGTTTCAATACGTAGGTAATATTATAATAACATTTTCTCACTTAGAGATTTTTTAGGTATCGCTTCTCGGAATACCTTATAATCTTATCCTCAGAGGCTCAAATTTACTTTTCGTAAAAAAAACTATGTCGTTCATGCAATGCATAATGTTACCATGTTGATGCACATATTTTATTCTCTTTTTTAGAAATTTTATTAATTGTTTTATTTGATTTTTTATTTTTTAATTTAAATTTTTGAAGAAAAAAGTAATTTTTATTACATTGACGTTTTTCTATAAATATTTCAATACATTGATAATATTTAAAAAAAATCTTTTCACTTAGGGATTTCATAA